GGGCCTGGCTTTTTCATAGATGAGCTTTCTCCTCACTTTTCAAAGCAACTTTTGGGCAAACTTTTTTCTCAGGTGCTTTATCTTCAGCTCTGCGAAATGCCTTTGCTTTTTCTTAAGGGCTTTTGGCACAGCAGGAACCGTGTTTTTCTTCAACACCTTCCATGGTTCCAGCTGGAAAAGAGGATTCTGTATTTTTGGTGGGCCAGTAACGAGGGCAACATGGCTGGTGTGATTCAGATCTGGAAAAAGAGGACATTTCCTAGGAAGTAGAACTTCTGGAAGAAATATTCCAAGTAGGGCAAGAGGTTGGCACCTCTGATGCCTAAAGGACCCCACTAATCAGAGTTGGCTTGAGAATGGTGTTTTCAAGACCTGAGCCTGGGGTAAACCAAGTCAAGCAGCTTTCCTTACAAACTGCGAGCAGCCCTTCATGGACTCATGAGTGAGTTGCAAGGCAGAGTCATGGGCACGGAGCTTTTTCAAACTTATGGGAAACACCGTTTTTTTTCTGGACCTAGAAATTTAGAGGCAGGGCATTTCCCATATTTGTTTACAGATCCCAGATTTGGTTTCTTCCATGACTGTCTCTGTATTGCTCATCGAGGCAGTTCTGGATGGCATAAACGAAGTCTCATCTGCTAAGTCTCTAACCGTCAGGCCATGGATGAGTGCATCTTTATTTTCTCAATTGCCTGCATTGCCTTTCTTCTGATTTATGTCATCTTTTGTGACTCTGAGGTGAACACAGATGCTTCTTTTATGAGTGAGGCAGTCAAAATCAGGGGAGAATTGTAAAGGCTGAAATGTTTTTAACATTCAGTTATTCATATATTATAATGCTAATGTTAGCAAGCTAAGAAAAGGGAAATATATGGACATAACATTGATGTCAAGATACTTTTACCTCAAATATACAAAAAAAAAAAAAAAAAGAAACTCATAAGATTAAAATGAAAAATTTTGAGTAGGCCAAGATAATCTAAAAATTCCTATTTGCCAAACTTTTCCTATTTATTTGTTCTGTGTGTTCTTCTTGATAAAAGTAAGTTAAAACTGAAAGAATGGTGTTTTTTGTTTGTTTCTTTAAGACAGGGTTTCACTATGCAGTGCAGGCTGGCCTTGAATTCACACCGAATCTGCTGCCTCAGTGCAGAGATTTCAGGCATGCACCACCACACCTGGCAAAAGAGTGGTTTTTAATATGAAAAATACATATTGAAAGTGAGCTATAAAATTGAAAATGGCTACTTGCCAGTGGACATATGAATTTTGGAGAAATCATTTCCTATGGGGATGATTTGTTAGAGATAGAAAGCATTCATTAAAAACATACTTGATTGGTTTTTCATGCCTATATCTTGTATTATGAGCAACTACTTTGAAGATAATAATGTGCAATGTATTGAACACTGTTGTTTTCCTACAGTCTTGTTTTGAAATGTTATACCATTGTTTTCACTGTTTTTCTTTTCCTTAAAATAAAATTAAAAAAAAAAAAAAAAGAAAAGAAAAAATGGCCCTTAGGTAAGATACAGAAATTGTTCAAAAGCGTAACACATCTCAGTTACATAAGCCATTTTGAAACCACCCAGTTTTAATTTCTCATCGGTGAGGAACTCAACCTGAGAAAGCTGTGGTGACACAGGAGCAGTCGCTCGCGTGCAGGCGCTACTCGGCCGGTGCTGCCTGTGGCCTCCCGCTTCCCACTAGCGACCTCCGGCCTGTGTTCACACATGCACGCCCCCTGAATCTCTTCACTCTGCTATGGGCATTTCGGGGGCAGGTGTGCGTTTCTCTCTGGAAGCTTCTGCCCTCTACTTGTAGGCTTGTCCCCGTGTAGCCTAGGGCGGGATTCCAAGGCCTGCTGTCATTTTGAGTCTTCTAGCAAGCAGCCAAAAGCAACCCAAGCCTCATTTCCTGAAGATCTTTCCTAGACCCAGGGAGTCCAGGAAAATTTGCAGGCTGATTTACAAAGGGTACGGGTAAAACCGTTCCTGGCTCCCTGCATCTAGGTGTGAGTGTGGCCTCACGAGAAAGGAAGAGGAAAGGAAACGGCCTTCCAACACCTACGCTTAGAGGTGGACAGTATTCTTGGTTTCAGCCACCCCACGTCACGGAACAGGCGGCACAGAAACTGTGATGGGCGATGCTGTTCCACATTCAGCGGTGGCAGCAGTAGGAAAGACGAACATGCACGTTCCTTCGCGTACCTAGCTGGTAACATCATGTAGAGTACACCCACATTTTATTTTTATTTATTTTTGTATTGTAGTAAGGGTCTACAGGCCTCACTACATAGAACGGACTTGTAGTGATCTGCCTGTGTTCAGCCTCCCAAGAGCTGGGATTACAGGCGTGCGCCATCATGCCCATTCTTAATCACCATCGCGGTGCGCCCCTTTCCCGGGGGGTGGGGGGAGCAGCGGCACGGCAGGCCCAGGATCAAACTCCCGGCCGCTGCGTCTGCCTACGCAGGTGCGTTCAGCTGCTGAGCTATTTGGCCGGTCCTACACGTATTTGTTTTTTGCGGTACCGGGTATTGAACTCAGGACCTTGCGCTATTCTGCCGAGCTATCTCCCTGGCCCCCTACACTTACATTTTAGTACCTTCATTTGTAAAAACACCATATGCTCTTTCAGCTTCAAGAATACAGAAGCTATGCATTTCAGCTCTAAATCCATATTTTCATTTTATGGATTTGTTTGAGGCAGCAGCAGTAAAGGCCATTAGACTAGAACCTGGCATATCGAAGGCTGTATTATAAAATACAGAAACCGGACTTCTTGTTGCATTTCTACCCCGTTTTTTCTATGCGAAGTTAACTTTTTAACGGGAACATTAAAGTTAAATGTATTGAACACTGTTGTTCTCCTACACCTTGTTTTGAAATGTTATATCATTTGGCCGGCCAAATAGCTCAGCGGATTAGCGCACCTGTTTGGGCCATAAAAATATTTGAATTCTTAAACTTTTAAATTGAAATAGGCAGAATAGTGTGCAAATCATTGTGTACAACTTAATAAAGTTTCACAAATTGAACATCAGCTATACTTCAATCACACATAAATAGCTCCCCCAAAATCTCAGGCTGGTTTCTAGTCACTAATCTTTTTATTTTTTGCATACTTAGAAAAAAAATTATTTGATACAGGGTCTCGCTACGCAGCTCGGACTCGTAGTAATCCTCCTGTTTTCAGCCTCCCCAGCACTGGGATTACAGGCTTGCGTCACCACGCCCCGACTCGGTGGCTGGCTCAGTGAGCCGGAGGCAGGATGGGCATGGCATGTGGTGCCAGGGATCTAACCCCAGTCCCTGCTCTGGCCTAATCTAGTCACTAATCTTACCCTCGCTATAATAACCATTTTCTTGATTTCCACTAGCATAGCTTAGTTTGGTCTGTTTTGGGTTGGGAATTTGTTCCGCTTACAGTTTTGAATCACCTTTTAAAACTTTTTTTTTTAAATTTTAGAGAAGGGTCTATAGGGTGTTCAGGGTCTCACTACTACATTGGACTCATAGTGATCCTGTTGACAGCCTCCCAAGAGCTGGGATTACAGGCATGCACCACCATGCCCAGTCTCCACTGATGTCTCAGTGTGCCCTGTGGCAGGGGCGGCATGGCAGGCTGGGGATCGAGTCCCCGGCCCCCGTGTCTGGTTGCAGGCGCTTTAATCCACTGAGCTATTTGGCCAGCCCTGAATCACTCATCACATGTCATAAGGTACTAACAATGTCTATCATATCCCTAGTGCTGTGTTCAGGAATTCTGCTTAGCATTTTATAAGCATTTTATTTTACTTCCCAACAAACCTATGAATAAGTATGAGCTACTATAAAACTGACTTTTACTGCCGTCCACAAGCAGAGCATTCCAAGGCAGCGATTTACTGATCAGATTAAATGTTTGGGCCCTGTATGAGGACTCCCGGTTTAAATCTAACTTAACTATTCACCAGCTGTATCACCAAGGGCATGTTACCTTTTTTTTTTTCTCTCTGTAGGAGGGGAATAATAATACCAACTTCATGTGATTAAGTGAAACAGAATATTTTATTAAAGCAGCTCTTTGGCTGTTGCTGTAGAGATGGGGGTCTTGGTGTGTTGCCTGGACTGATCTTGAACTCCTGGTTTAAGCGTCTTTCTGCCTCAACCTCCAGAGTAGCTGGGACTACAGGGTGGGCCACCACACTCTGCTTACACAGCTCATAAAACAGGGCCTGTTACACAGTGTCTCACGTGTTCCATAAAATGTTATCAGATGTTCAGTAAAGCACATTTTAAAGGATTGCATAATTTGGGGGTAGATAGAGTGCAGTTTTCCCAACCATTCTGTTATTAACTGTTCGTCTTCGCTGCTGTAATTTTTTTTTTTTTTAAACAATACTGACAATCAAACTCAGTACTCAGTCCAGCTCAGGGAGACCTACTGCAGAGGTGTCTGAGAGGCAAATTCATTCCTGGAATAAACCTCCTGTGTTTCAGAACTGCACGCTGGCTACAGGCACTGGCATTTCCTGGAGCAGAATGCTGTCCAGAAGCCAGTGCTGGCCTGCGGGAGGCTCACGGCTGACAGTCCAAGCAGGTCATTAATCTCTAGGAAATGTTTAGTATTTTGAGGACTGTTTGTTTGAGGTTGTAAGTAATTTAGTAAAGAACGATTACATGACTTTGAACAAAGGAAACAATGTTGTGCCGAGGCACACAGTAGTGCCTCCTAGTGGGCACAGCTTGGAATCTGAAGTTAATTTAGATTTCAGAAATGAAATGTATATTTTTGTCATAGTTTTGGCCAGTAAAAGAGAGCACAGTATGTTCTTCTTAAAAGTAAAAAAAGTAAACAAATATATTTGCACAATGAAAAAAGGACAGATGTACTGTAGATGAGTTTCTTTTGGAAAAAAATTTTAAATTCTCATTTTTCAGCAACGCTGTAAAATGTATGATTGAAGCAATGAAAGTTTTTGATTTAATAAGACAATTTTTTTGTTGTTTTTGCAGGCCAGAAAGAGTTCTTTGTTTGAAATCATTTCTTTTCCAGCAATGACTGTTTTGACTGGCATGATGTACACCTCATATGCAGCACTCATCTATTTGGTAAGTTAAGAAAATTATTAGACTCTAGAGATAAGAACTTACTTTACTACAGTGCACTATTTACAGTCCTGTCGTTAGTGGTACTACTCACAAACTAAGGCACCGTTCTCTTGTCATGTAAGGTAATTTCCTATTAGAGCATTATTTTCTGAGGAGCCAGATCAGCCACCAAAACCCAGATTACTTTAGTAACTGAGTATGTCACTTTGATAGACGTTATTGCCATTTGGAGACACCTGGTCAGAACATGCTAGCGTCTGCTGTCATGTAGTTGCAGTTGTTTTTTTCCCAGCCATGATGACTTCCATGACGGCTGAGGTTCAGGACTCCACTATTCTGGGTCAGGGAATCCGGAGAACACAAGTATTAGTGTACAGTGTTCTCATTGTAAGTATTGTACATGGCAAAACTGTACACAACTGTATCAATTATAAGGGCTTTATTTTCTGTTAACAGCCATTTATACCTCATTTTTAAAACTATGACATACAAAAATAAAAGTACACAGTTTCCTGTGTTACCACAAAATATATTAATTTATCAACCCCTCAGGTCAAGATTCAAAACTGTCCTCCCAGAAGCTGCTTTCCTGCCTCCGCAAATCCCTACCATCCTAGCACTCGCCACCCTGGCTTACTGTGCCTTCGTTAGTTTGGCTCCCTGAATTATATGTAAACTACTATGTAACTATGTGAGCTGTGTGTGAGTTGTACAGTGCAGTACGTGTCTTTTATACTTGTCTTCTTTTGTTCAACATTGTCATTAAAAGATTCACTGGTTGCCTATAAATTCCTGTTATTAAAAACCCCATGCCTGGGCTGGGGAGACACCTTGGTGGTCTAAAGGCCTGCCTGCCAATCACAAGGATGTGGGTTCAATCCCCATTATCACATGCCAAGCTGGCCACCGAAACTGGGTGTGGTGGTACACGCCTGTAATCCCAGCACTGGGGAGGCTGAGACAGGAGGATCACTATGAGTCTGAGCTATGTAGCCAAGACCCTGTACCAAATAAAGATTAAAAATATCCCATGCCTTTTCAATCTTTTAGCAGTATCCTTTAAAGTTCTTTATTTCAGTGTAATTTACTATTCTATGTTAAGTGCTTTTTTGTGTCTTAATGAATCTTGACCTGTACCCAAGGTCATGAAAATGTTATATTCTAGAAGCTACACAATTTTGTCCTCTACTTTTATAATGCATGTGAAATTGGCACAAGGTAATGGTCAGATACTTACCCTATGAGTAGCCAATGGAACTACCACTATTTATCAGAAAAAGAGCCCTTCTCCTATTGTTCCACAAGACTTTGTCATACAACATGTCCTTTAAAATTAGATCTGTTTACAGAGCGTCATTTGTCCATTCTCGAATCAATATAGCACTGCACTAGATACTCCAGCCTTCTATGATATCTTGATAGTTGCTAGAGTAAGTCCTCTTCCTAATCCACAAACATAAGACATCCTTCAATTTATTTTAGCTAATTTTTTCTTAATCATCTTTGTTTTTGTCAGCATTATTACATGAATTTTTTCATCACACTGAAACACACAATGTGTGTATGTATCTTAACTAGCTGATTCTAAAATGAACATGGAAATAAATGCAAAGGGTCACAACAGCAAGACACCTGTGAAAAAATTTAAAATTTTAAACATTCTTTTAAAAACCTGAATTAATCAAATATTTTGGAAGTATTTTAAATTTTTGAGAAGTGCCCAATATCTTATATAAATCTCATCTAAAACTGGTATCAATTGAGCTAGGATAGAAATACACTTCAAAAAATGGGTAGGACGAGATGGTTATAGAAAACAAAAAGTGGAATCAAAATAAACTGATTTTTCAAAGCTATTGAAATTATCCCATGCAACTTATAATACTAAAAACTTTCTAAGTAGGTAACAGAGGCTTTCAGTGACTCTCTAATTGATCCTATGTGCATCTGGGTCTGGGAGAGGTCAAGGCTGGAATATGGCTTATGAAACAAATCTTGTATGTTGGAGCTTAATGCCCTACAAGTGGAACCATGAAGAGGGGCCTAAGCCAACAGGAAAATAGTAACATTTAGGATGAGCTAAGAAGGGGTCCAGCCATGAAGGAGACAAGCAACTATCAGAAAAGTTCAAGAAGAATCCAGAGAAACTGAGTACAGGAAATAAGACAGGAGTTTTCAGTGACTATCAAACACAAAGAAAAAAATTTGAGTAAAATGAGGATTTAAGGATCAAAGATGTTGGGGTTGGGTTAGTCATCCTGAGACCTACTCCAGGGGCATGATGGGATATGGAAGGCAGAGATAAGTGAGCTACATAGTGAATTAGAAGTGATAAAATGGAAATCAGGAACGCTGGCTCTAACTTGATCAAGAAGAGAACTTGTGTAACAGGCAAGTAGGAAATAGGGTCTCAGAGACTTTAGATTTTAGGCTGAAAGACACTGATGCACATTATCAATTACAGGGCTAGAGCCAGTCAAGAGAGGCTGAAAAGCTAAGAGAATAAATTGCTAGGAGAGGAAATAAGAGGAATACTGACTTTGATCAAGTCTTCACTTTCTGAGACTGGGAGAGGGTGGCCAGAACGGACACAGATGAAATTCTGTAGGTGATGGAAGTGGGAATAGATCAAGACAAGACTTTCCAACAGGTTTCACAGCATGACATAAAAAATGATATTTGGCTTAAATGAATGAGACTATTTGTAGCGGAAACTATGGACTTAAGGTTTCTTTCTCTGGCATGGGATGCATTCTGGTACAAGTTAATAACAGGTTGGTGAGATTTAAACAAAGTATGAAAACAGGCAGTTCCTGGTTTTCTCTGTAACACAATAACCCAGGCACCCTGGACTGGGTGCTTGCATCTTTTCCCCCAATTCTAAAGTTGGCCAACCCCTAAGGTGATGGTATGAGTAGGTGGCACCTCTGTAAGGTCATTAGGCCTTATGCATGGGATTAGTGACCTTATGAAAGAGGCTCTGAGAGCTTCCTCATTCCTCTCGCCATATGCAGATGCAGCACAGAGATGGCACTAGAGTTCTAGACAGCAGCCCTCAGCAGACACACAACTGACAGCACTTGATCTTGAACTTCCCAACTTCTCCAGCTGTGGGGCGTAGGGCTACTGAGGCCACTCAGCTTTTGTTAGCAGCAGCCTGAACAGCCTAAGACATCAGGGCTTCTCCTTTTTTTCCCTTTTTTTTCCCCTAGAAAATGTTTTTGGCTGTAGACTTTGCCTCATGCTCAGGAATGGGGAGAAGGGTCAAGGCCAAAGTCTTTCTCTTCATGCGGAAGGAAATCTTTTCCGAAATCCTTCCTGACCTCCTTCCCAGCAGACACACCATCTGATTTTGTCCACCACAGGGTCACTCAGCCACACACTCACCACAGCGAAAGGAGGGAAAGCAGCTGTGTCCCTGGGTCCCTGCGAGAGGCAGGCATGAGCAGGCGGGGGAAGGCGGGAACCGAGGCTCTTCATCCTGAGGCCAACACCTGTTCAGGAGAACTTCATGATCCAATCCCATCTTGAGGCACTTCTTTTGTAAAATAAATGAGTTTAGAGTTTTTTCTGTTTCGTGAAATTTTTTCTTAGTGCCATCATCACCATTAGCAAACCTGGAGTGAATTTAGTGAATGCAGCTCTTAGTAATTCCGACATCTGCAGTTAGGTGTTTGCATTCTGTTTTGACTCTCTTTTTAAAACATACATATTTTGGGAGGAAAAGTGGACCACATGTTTGACCAGTAGTCACTGATCTACTTACTAGCTTACTAAATTCTTATCAAAATACTTACGTCCATATACACAAGTACAAGCAAAGTCTAGGGAGGAGAAAATTAAAAAGTACCCTTGGAGACATTAAAATATTTGTGGATAAATTCCATCTTCTAGAAAATGTTTCATTTAATCAAGTCAGAATAAAGATGTGCTAGGTGTGGAGTACACAGTAAGTTCAAGGCCAGCCTGGACAACATGTCTTACAAAACAGAAACAAAACCAAACATAAGACCTACAAGATCTGATGAAATGAGAAGACGCAAAGCATGTCTTTATAGGCTAGGTATGGTGGGGCGTACCTGTAAGTCTAGCACTAGGGAGGCTGAGGCAGGAGGATCACCATGAGCTCAGGGCTAGCCTGAACTGCATAGCAAGACCCTGTCCCCAAAATAAAATGAAATAAAAATATGCAACAACAGATGAATTGAGAAAAAAATATATAAAGCATACTTGTATAAAGTACACTAGTTTTTAGAGTGCTCTGTAGAGTGTGGTAGAAGATCCACAACAAGGAATCAGTTTCCCAATGCCTATCAGGTGTTAGCAGTTCTTGAAGTTATTTTTTATGAATATGTAGAGTGAGGTTTTGATTTTTTCCCCCTGTGGTTGTGTTTTGAAAGAAACACTAATTCCCACACGTCCCAATTATACAGGCAATCTGCGCTAATGCTGTGCTGGAGAAGGCGAGGAGCATATGTGAAGAGGAAGAAGTCATGAGGCAAAACAGAGAAAGCGAACATTCTAGAAAAGCCTTTTCAGAGCCTGTGCTCTCGGAGCCCATGTTCCCTGAAGGTGAAATCAAAGCAAAGCCTTACAGGTCACTGCCAGAGAAGCCAGGCATTTCCTATCACCCTGAGCTTCCTGGTAATAAGCAGAATAACAAGATCCAGGTTTTACACTCGGTGTTCGACCAGTCAGCTGAAACAAATGAGCAAACATGAACACAATAGCCCTGGACAGAGCTTAGGAGGTGCGTTATCCAATGACACATTTCATCTGAAAAAGCTCCGAGTTCAATATACATATATGTAGGCTCTGCTTTAATAGAAAGGGGGGAGATTAGCACTAAACTACTGTTGTTCAATACTACTTAATAAAATCTGGATGTAGACTACATGTATGGTTATATAATAGTTTTCATGAGCTAGAAACTCTACTCTGGTGTGTCAGACTTTCCACAGTGGTTTATAGTCTGAAGCACATTTCTAATTCATGCTTTTCTTAAAGATTTGTGCGAGTGGGGGAGGAAAGAACCCAATCCAGAACCCCATCCTTCCAGACCTCCTCCCCAGGAGATGCATCCTTTGATTGCATCCTCCACAGGGTCACCCATCACACACTACCTATTTTTTTCAGAGGTCATAAAAGGTCATTTATTTTAGTTTGAGTCTGCCTATAAACTTTTTATCACTCACTTGTAAAGTTATGAAGGAGCTGCCTCTCACAGAAGCCATAAGTTTATAAAACAAAATATTTACAAATCTGGTAAGATTTATGTACACAAAGATGAGCTGTGCTGATGTGACTTTGTCCCTTTAGGGGACAGGTCCTGCTATGTTTCCCAGGCTGGCCCATGGCAACTGAAGAAAGGCGAGGCTTCTGCTTCACACTGTCACACTCAGCAATGTGACTTTTTTTTCGGTCTTTTTGAGCTAGGTCTCACCAAGTAGTTCAGGGACATTTTTTTTTGTTTTGTTCTAATTTCAAGATTTAAAGCCATAAATTAGAACAAGAAACCAAGTACATATTACTCATTATTGCCATCTGTTCCTGAGGGAAAATGCTTCCATAACTAGTACTGCAAACCAGGGTCGGTTTGCCTGCTGGAGAACTGCAGTTGCTCCCTGCACGGGAATTCTGGACATGTGATCAGCCCGACATACGGTCAGCTGGTATGAGCTCATCCCACAGATGCGCACTTTCGGTCCCTAGTAAAGTTGTTGCTATTTATAAAAGCCCAAACCTGGTTGATTACTAGTCTGAGAAATAACAAATGCATTTTCTCATGTACCCATGTTCTGACAGAAAAGGAGATGTGGTACTTCGTGAAGCGAGGCATTCTTAGTCACTTGCTGTTCTTACAAGAACCAGGGGAAAGAGTCTGGGGGGCCCTCAGAATGTCAAGTGCTGGTCCGGCTCTCCCCTCAGTCCTGTATCACGATGTTCACGTGCCTGGAGACCAGGCTGCAGGGTGACAGTCCTCAGCCCACCTGCTCCCACTCACTCGCACATCCTACCACGTGCTGCCGAGCTGTGTGGCTCACACACGGCTGTTCTAAACACTTAACGACTAGGACGGGGCAGGCACTGGGCAGCCAGAGCAGCACCGGGAACAGTGGCCGCACAGGAAAACCGGATGAGCCAGCTGAACATCAGCTGCCTGTGAACGCTGGGAACACGTTCTCCATCTCTTCTCCCTGTAATGTCTATGAGAAACAGCTGCACACAGTTCTCTCTTAAACAACAAAACTTTTATTTGAAGGTTTCATAGATACAAAGTATACAGGCTCGCGGACAGGAGACGGGTCTCAGGTCTTGGACCAGGCAGCAGCTGCGGGAGCTTCTGTAGAGGATGACAACGCCTTGAGCAGAGAGGAGGCGAGCCAACGCTCCAGGGCTTTCACGAGCTTCTCACTTTTAGGTGCAGCACACAGATTCACCTTTACTGCTGTGTATTGGAAAAACTGCACTTCAGAGGACTATTTCCATGAACTTGAATTTTAACTTTACAATGTCAGAGTAATAATCAAATGAGGTGGAATCAGTGGAGGTCTTGATGAGACAAGGATGAAAGAATGCAGGTAATTGTTTAAACTGAGAAAAACAGTTTAATTTTTACTAATTGTTTAAATGGAGCAAGCAGTTTAATTTTTACTTTATACCTATTAAAACTCCTAGAAGAGCAGAGTGTGATGATGCGTTCCTCTAATCCCAGCACATGGGAGGCTGAGGCAAGAGGACTGCTGTGAGTTCGAGGCCAGCCTAGCCTACATAGTGAACTCAAGGCTGACCTGAACTACACAGCAAGACCCTGTTTCAAAACAAAAAATTAAGCCAGGGATATAGCTCAGTGGTATAAGCGGCTACCTGGCAAGCGGAAGCTCCCGAGTTTGATCCCTGGTACCACAAAAAACAAACAAACAAACAAATAAACAAAAAACCCATCTGAGTGTGGTGGCACATGCCTGTAATTCCAGAACTTGAGGAGGAGGTAGAAGGATTTCTGTGAATTTGAGACCACTCTGTGCTACAAAGTGAGCTCAAGGCCAGTCTGAGCTGTGTAGTGAGACCTTGCCCGAAAAACACTAAAATACTGAGATTTAGTCACTAGGATGATGTGAAAAAAAAGGTAATTATGGTACCAAGGTGTTCATTTTTTTTTCTTGTAACTGGCGGAGAAAACATTCTGGCCAAAAACAGTTTTCTGAATTCTTTTCTTTTAGAAATTGTGCTAAGGTGACTGTGGCATAGAAATAAACATTTGACATTGAAATTAAAGAAAAAAAACTAAAACTAAAACAACCCCTCCCCCAAAAACCTTAGAATAGCCTACAACACCAAAAAGGGCCTTTTGTTCTAATAAAAAATTCTCCTATGAAATCATACTTTACTTATTACTCATTTTGATCACTCTAAATTATTTGAATCCTCCTTATATTGAATGTCCCAAACATAACCTTCAGGTTCTGATCAGTCCAGAGGACTGGATGGAATGTGGATGAAAGGTACTCTTGTCTCACGGTAATCCTCAGACCAATATCCTTTCTCAGTACATGTGCTTTTAAACTTCACTGATCTATATGATTTCAAAAGATAAGTAACACTTGTACTTATGTTGAAAAAAATTCATCTTTGATATTGAAACAGTTATTAAAAAGTATCTTAAAATAAGCACCACATTTTTCACTATCATATACATACTTTTATCAGGAAGAACTCTGAATTACTTTGTATTGTCCAGTAGCATAGAAATCAGAGTCACACTTAAAAGGTTCCTTAGAAAGCGTCACATAGATATGCCCCTTCTCCACTGTCACGGTGTGAATCCTTTGCTTTATTCCTTTGGAGCACCACTTGGGTTTTGATGATGGATCCCTGGGGTTCACAGACTGGTATAGCCCTTCTCCTGTTGCCAGCGTAATCTTGAATTTATGCCAAGGGCAGACTATGCATGGTCGTCCATCAAAGTCCTGGAGAAAAAAACAGACCTGGCATTTCATGATGAGCCTTCCACTTAGTACAGAATCCACTGCAAAAGACCCAGGGGAAAGAACAGGCCAGCTGTTCCTTATTTTTCCCATTTACAAGTTATTCAGAATAAAGCAGAGCCCATTAGGAGGAGAGTCATCAAGTCCCTTTTGCAGTGACTGGAAGCCCCTGGGCCAGAGCTCTACCAGAAGAGGCCCCACTCAGGCCACTACCATGTGACTGTGGCGCAGCTGTTCTCTTTCTTAGCGCCTCTTCCTTGTCAGAGATTCAGAGAAGGTACAAGGGCTCCTTGTGCCTCTAAAGCAATTCCCAGCGGCCGGCACAAGAGCTGCAGGCTGCAGATGGAATTCAAGAGGCTTGACTGAAGGCCTAGGGCACGTGTTGATGAAGAGCAACTTGTGATTCCTTTTAGCTCTCAGTGAAATTCTCCTCAAGCTTTTAAGGCGCATGGGACACACAGTGGCTTCTGTCTAGTGCCCCCTCATCTGTGTAAATTCAGCAAACGTACAGCAGGGCTCGAGCATATGTGTCCAGGAAGCAAGGCTGAGGACAGAGCTGCTAGGCTGCCGGCCGCACTGTGAGCAGCAGAGCCATGAAGCTTCTGTAGACTCGAACTGGGGATCCGTAAGACAGTATCAACAGCGGGTGCTTGCTCTTCCGCTGCACCAGAAAGCAGGAGGACTGATCTGTACACCCACAGAATTGTGAGCAAACATCCCATGTTCATAATTTAAATGCATCTTTAACATAATTTAAATGCATCTTTAACATGAGGCTAGGTATGAAACCAGGTAGGTATCAACAGGTTGAGAGAGTGAGAAGTCAAGTTCAAGCTTACAGTCTGCATTATTTAGAGACAGAACAAGATAGAAAGACAGTAAACACTAGGCAACCAGTTTTGGAATATAAGAAAGGAAAGAAAATTTTCCTTTTCTTTCTCAGTTAAGCTTTTTTTTTTTTTTTTTTTTTTGTGGTACTGGGGATTGAACTCAAGCCCTTGTGCTTGCCAGGCAAGCGCTTATCTTACTGAGCCATCTCCCCAGCCCCTCAGTTAAGCTTTAAGGCTGGGCAAGGTATTAATTCCTGCAGCCCCAGCACTCTAGGAGGCTGAAGCAGGGAGACTGCAAGTTACAGTCCAGCCTGGGCCACTCAGCCACTTCGTGGTTTCTTTCTTTAAAATTAAAAAAAAAAAATCATTATATAAAATAAATGCTTACAAAAATTCAATATATAAAGTATATAAAGTAAAAGGCAAATATCTTAATTTAATAAGGAGAACTAGAGTTATTACTGCATGACTTTTGTTACTCATAAATACCTCAGCATCCCTCCACACAGCAAACCCAGGCCCCTCCCCCATTCCACAGCCACTCAGCATTCCACAGCATGGCTGGGTTATGGTTTTATTTAACCTGGTTATTATTGTTAAAACATTTAGGTTACCTTTAATTTTAAAATATAATAAATAATACTACAGTAAACTTTTCTTAAGTATAGAAAAACATTTGTGCAATTATATACCTCAGCTCAATATCCAAGAATATAGCTGACAGGTAAAAAGATATGCATAGTTCTCATATTTATCTATGCAATGGTTCTTTATGAGTGTGAATACTTAGAATATTAGCAATTATATTCAAAGCACTAAAATATAATTACATCCAAATATACACTGTTTGAATAAAGAATGACACAAATTAATGGAAATAGGAAATATTGGAGTTTGTTTAGAATAAATTTAATTTTATGTACCTCTATTTCTCCCAAATGTAAAGGTCCTCCTGAATCTGAAAAGGAATTGAATATTATATCTGGTCACTACAAAAAGTGAATTTTGATAGTTCTGTGAATAATATGTACAAGTGCTACAGAAGAAAAATAAAAGCTTACGGTAGCAGCGAATATCCATAGCATGATATTCTCCCCTGTGGTAGAAAATGACCACTTCTCTGTCATGGACAACAGCTGTCATTCTTCCGGACTTTTTAATGTCTGCTTCTTTGCCGACACACACAGCAGAATATTCCTTTTCTTCAGGGTTTTGTTCCGCCTCAGCAGGATCCATGCTAGCAGGAAAAACAAGTTGCAAATGGTCTTCATCACTTTGGCTACAACTCAACTCACAACGATAGCGATACATAAGAACAGTCTGGATTTCTTAGGATTAATGAATGCATTTTTCTACAGCTACATACGTACTAGCACATGGCTACTTATTACTTTGAGATATTTTTCAGTTTCAGTTCTGGGGACCCAACTTGGCCTCACACACGCAAAGCAGTACTACCACTAAGCTACCCAGCTCTACGTTAAAAACCCTCAAGGCCTGCTAGCACTAGGTGTAGAGTAATTCCAGTTCTTAAGGTGCAAATTTTAGGTCTCCTAAGCCACAGGACTGAAGTTTTAGTACCCTTTTATTCCTGATCAAGTTCAACACTATCTGAATTGGTTCATTATCTGCGTGGTCTTCAGCCTCCTGCTGAAGGTGGTGTGAAGAGCCTCCTAGCCACATCACTGGCTTGCCACTACCGAGGGGACACAGCCCACTCCCAGGGCCCAACCACACACGCGTCCTTGCAACAGGGGACAGGTATGGATGCGCTCCTTTCCTCTCAGAAATTGTCATTACTTTGGGCATTCAAAGTTTTTTTTCTTAATTAATTTACAAAAGAAAATTTTAAAAGTATAATTTTTTTTTTTGTCAGCACAGATATTCAGTCTATTTGTTCAACAGTGACCAAGAGGCCTTTTTCACATTATATTTTACTTCTTTACATGTTAAGAATGTGACAAGGGAATATTATATTACATCAACAGCAGGTTCGGGACACTTTATGCAGCTGGCATAAGGCACACGCACTCCGCCATGGCTGACAGATAAGCACTGCTATCACGATAAGTCCTAAGACTCCAGAGGTCCCTAGACTATGATTTATAACAAAATTCCTTGATTTTTTTTATTGTATGACAGGACTAAAGGCTTATGACAGATAACAATTTAAAATTTTAAGGAAAGCCAACATTTTGGCCCTAGCCTTCCAAGGTCAATTAAGACTCAGGACATATGAGAACTTGTACTGTAACGTCATGTACCTCGGTAGTGTCCCAAATTTTCTGATCAGGGAGATTATGGGGCCAAACAGGAAAGGGATCGATGATGTAGAGAGTGCCTAAGTAGAGTCACATGGAGAGAAAACATTCTCTCAGGCTTTCACAGAGAGCACATTGGCCAAGCAATGGCCGTGACTCATCCACATGGCTACACTGACAAAGGTTCTACAATCTGAGGTACAGGATCTCAGGATAAATCCTGAGGGGATTTCACTGACCTTATCAGACCCAAAAGCTACAACTCTTGTTGCATAGGTCCTTCTTTACCTTGGTCTTAACCATCCAGCAGAAAAGTATAAAAACGAAATATAAGAAGTAAAGTCAGGCTGTTATGTTGAGCTGTAGGGGACTCAGGTCAACAATTTCTGACATTGCCAGTGAAGTGGAAGATCCAATACTATTATGGACTACTGGACTCTTTTAGATTATTTTGCTGAGTTTACACACCTATAATATTCAAATAACGGAACTTAACAAAAAAGGGTATACAGATGAATGTCCATTTTGTATCTATGTATTCAAAGTGGTTAGGATAGATATATATAGTTACATTCTCTTAATGAATAGAGGGATTTGCTCTAATGGTGTTTGTAAATAGGATATCATGTCCGCATCTTGTACAGCAATTAACCACTAGGAAGAATGTATGCAATGTGTTAATTATTGAAACTGTCATACCAATTTGATTTGAAAAAATAAATAAATAAAATTTTATAGCAACATTTAGTGATCATTTACTTTTATCTTTTTAGGACACTGACAGAAAAGTATCTTTTGGGGCCAGGGAGATGGCTCAGTGGAGTAAGTGCTTCTCTGGCAAGTGCAAGGGCCTGAGTTCAATCCCTGGTCCACAAAAAAAAAGTATCTTTTAATCTACTTTGAGAGGAATGTTTGAAAGGGTGCATACTGGTGGTGATCTTCTCCATGGCAGAACTCTAAACTGAAAACTTCCAACAACAGGCCCTCAGATTCTCCGTTGGGCCTTCTCCTTCCTTTTAGAAGTGACCACTCATTTGATACCTTTTTTTTGAACACACGCTATGTGATGTGCACTTTAACAAGTTATGAAAGGTTTCTGCCCCTTCTAGATGTGAGAGTGATAAGAAGTAAACACACAAATAATCATATACTATAAGAGCTGTGAAGAAGATAAATTTGATAATATTAAAAGGTAATAAAGGAAAGTGATTTTGCAAAGAATAGGTTGGGTAGGTAAATGAGGTAAGAAGTGAGCTGAAGTTTCCTGTATGGTTTGTATCTAGATGTTGTCTCCTACAAGCCTCCATGGTCATGGGTGCGTGTTTTTGGAGGTGGCTGGATCTAGGGTATATGGTGCTGGGATTAAATGCATGATAATGGGATCATGGGCGCCCTCCCGTGGGTGTGGGCAGCATCCATCAAGAGGCTTACAGCCTGGCTGAAACACAAGCATGGGGCAGAGAGGCTCCTGCTGCTGCTTTGCTGCTGCCTGCTATACACAGCTGCTTGCTGCTTTGCTGCCTTCTGCCTGGCTTGCCACACCATGGACTGTTTCCCTTCTTCAATGCACTCTGCCACACCAGCCTGCCTTGGAGCCAGCCAACGATGAACTGAAACCTCTAAATCGGAGCTTAAATAAACTTCTCATCTTTTACCTTTAGGTGTTGGATATTTTGTCTCAGCAACAAGAAAAGTACCGAAAACAACTCTCTACATGCAAATGAGCCAGACACACTCAGAACTGGTAGAAGAGAATTTCATACTAAAGGAACAGGGCAAACCTGAAGGAAAGAAAAGGCTTAACTTGAACAACAGAATGGAGGAGACTGGAGACTGGTGTACAGGCAGATGCCAGGTTGGGCGGCCTACAAGTGGGGTCTGTTCTAAGAGCAGTGGAAATCCACTGAAGGACATAAAGCAGGGCAGTGTGACATGATTTTTTTTTTTTTTTTTCAGTACCAGGGATCAAACTCAGGACCTTGCGCTTACCAGACAAAGCACTTATTCCACTGAGCTGTCTGCCCAGGCTTTTTTTTTTTTTTTTTTTTTTTTTTAATGTCCTGGGCTCTATGGAGGATGGACTATAGCAGAAGAGTAAAAGCACAGAAACAAGAAAGCTATTACCATGGATCATGGGAGAGATGGTGACCTAGGCCAGGGTGTTTTCTTCATGGGGACAAAAAGTAAGGACAGCAATGAGAGCAGTGGGTATAATGAATTATGCTAAGTGTCAAGCACTGTTTGAAGACTGTATTTATTGGCTAGGCGTGGTGGTGATTACCTGTAATCCTAGCACTTGAGAGGCTGAAGTAGGAGGACTGGTGTGAGTTTGAGGCCAGCCTGGGCTATACTGTGAGTTCAAGACCAACCCAAACTAGGTTGCAAGACCCTGTCCCAACCACCCCCTCAACGACTGTATTTATTAATTCTTTTAATTCCCCAACATGTTACTAGAAATATATTCTTATTCTAATTTCATAGTAAGTAAACTAAGGTACAAAGAAGTTGGGCTGATGAACTGAAATGAAACAGCTACAGAAAAGCAAGATGCTTGTGATGCTTTAGGTTTACACAGTGAGGTGGACTGCAGGGCTAGTGAGTGACAAGGAAGCGTACTTTTGCAAGGGTGGAAAATGAAGCCGAATTTTGTGCCCGTCGAGTGTAAGACGCCTGGAGACACCCAAGAGCATCCATAGCCAGCAGCCAGACATGGGAGGCTGGACTTGAAAATCAGAAGAGACACATCTGACAGTTTTCAAGTTACTAAGCTTATGAGAATCACAGCGTGAACTCTAACAAAATTTCTAAAGCACTTTAACATGTAGCAGTCAAGTAAGACAGATGCTGAAGAAAGCCAGGATCCGTAGTATCTACTTCACTGCTAATCAAATGAAATGCATTTGCCGTCTCTTCTCTATCCTGTATTCTCTTTTTTCTCCTCCAGGCCCTACACTGAATGATAACTTTCTTCCTTGACTATGCCTGCTCTTTGTTAAAGACAGGCATCTTTCCAGGATTATGTGTGTGTTTGGGAGAGTTGCAAGCAGGGTGAGCTGGAAATCCTGAGGAGCGGTGTCCTTCCTTCAGTCTTGGTCCTCGCGTGTCCACTGACAAACGCAGAACACTGAGGACTTCATAAGTTCTGCTCTCTTATTGCGTCTGTGTCTATCTTATATGCTGAACTCCAACGAGGCTCTTTATTTTCCTTAGTTTACTTCTGCCCTCAGATTTGGAGAAAGACGAAGATAAGCGTGAGCAGAGGTGGAAGAAATTGAGACAGACCCTCTGACTGGGCACAGGCAGGGCTCGGTTCATAGCACCAAGTGAGAAGGTCACAGTGTACAGTCACTGACTGGCTGCTTCTTGAACCACTGTCGTAGAGCAGAGCGGCGCCCTTCTGAGAGTAACAGGATCCCATTCCGAGGCTGGCCAAGGCCAGGTCCTTCCCTCACTGACTGTGGAGCCTGTCTGCCATCGCGTGGGTCGCTGCTGACTTTGCATTCTCTAGGTTTCCAGAGGCAGGGTCCCAAGCATCTTTTCTGAGTTTAGTGTTACACTACAAGATGCAATAAAGGAAATACAAGGGGCAATTTTCTTCCTTCCATGGAAAGTAACAATATTTTTGACAAAATTTAAAATAGTAATAGTTCATATACTGCATCATAATCTGAAAATTATGACAGCACACACACACACTGCCTAATGTCATTATTCTTCAAACTCTTTAATGAAATTGAAAGGGAAGTAGTTCTCCCTAACTCATTTTGGCAGGCAAGTATTGCCCTGACATAAAAACCAGAGAAGGTCCCAACTGAAAAACTACAGGCTAGTCTCTTAATGAACAGAGATGCAAAAAATGCTCAATAAGATGCTAGCAAGCAGAATGCAAAAAATCATCAAGAATATGGGATTCATCTCAGGAAGACAGGGATGGTTCACCATAAGCAAAACAATAAATGTATATCAACATAGCAA